GGATCTTCCAGGATCCCGAGGAGCCGGTGAGTGGCCGGCGTGGGGTGAGAGAAGGGTCCGAGCTCTCTGGGGGCCAGTGGCGCCGCCGACAGGGGGCGTCCCCAGGAGCCCGCGCTTGGCGCCAAAGCAGCATTGTCTCCTCAGCTGTGGGGCCTGCTCCCCTCCCCGCGGTCCTTTCCCGCCAAAGTGCCCCCATGGGTCCTGTGGTCCTTCTGTGCAAATGGAAAGCAAAGTGACAGCTAATGGTTATGCATTGAGCCACATGGAATTCCCGATAATTTGACCAGAGGAAATGGCAATTTCATGTGATCAGCTCAACACTTTTTTTTCTTTTTTAAACTAATTTTTCCCAACAGAAAACTAAAGTACCTGCCCCCAGCGTGGAGGATGAACCACTACTGAGAGAGAACCCCCGCCGCTTTGTCATCTTTCCTATCGAATACCATGACATCTGGCAGATGTATAAGAAAGCTGAGGCTTCCTTTTGGACAGCCGAGGAGGTAATCACATTCAGGCACTGGCCACTGCTTTGACCCTAAAAGACCCCTACAGGGCACTTATAACTGGTTTGACATGCACTACATTCCACTGAGGATGCTAGATGCACTCACTGGCAGAGGGAATCTGGACGTGAAGAGTTTAGTGATCAAATGGTGTAGTGGACTTAAAAGAAATTTAGAGTATGTATTTGTGAGCTCTTGCACACTTGAATCTCTTCCCTAATACTAACTGTTGTGAACTTCCAAATGTCAGGTGGATCTTTCCAAGGACATTCAGCACTGGGAATCCCTGAAGCCTGAGGAACGATATTTTATATCCCACGTTCTGGCTTTCTTTGCAGCAAGTGATGGCATAGTAAATGAGAATTTGGTGAGTGTGAAAAAGTCTTCACTTTTAAAGATTTAAGTTAGAACTAGTGTGCTTTTCTCATCTTGATTTTTTTTTTTTTTCCATACGGTGAGCATATATGCATGTACAAGCCAGACCTTATATTACACGGCATTTCCTGTTTTGTAACACTTTGCAGTTTATGGTATCCCCCTTTCATTATAAGTGGCAGTAATACATGTATTCCCTGTAGATGCCACATTTGCTCTCACCTTTTTGTGGCTTGCTGTTTTAACATTTGGGTTGCATAGATCTTTTTTTTTTGAGTTGGTGCCTCTATTAAGTTACTGAGGCTGGCTTTGAACTTGTAATTCTCTTGCCTCAGTCTTCCACAATAGGCATGCCATTGTGCCCTGCATCAATAGTGGGTCTTTCTTGAAATGATTTAGTAAGGAATGAATCAATAATTACTGTTCATAAAAATCCTATAAAATAGGAGTTATCTGTTTCCTTTCTTGATCTATAAATTGAGCATACGATATAAAATGTTTTGCTTATCTCAGAATTGTGACAATTTGAAAGAAGCAAACCTTTTAAAGATACAAAGAATTGACTGATGCTACTAGTATCCATTGACTGACTTCCCGCCAACTTTTTTTCCTCAAACTTTTGATGTGTTTTACCACTAGGTGGAGCGATTTAGCCAAGAAGTTCAAGTTACAGAAGCCCGCTGTTTCTATGGCTTCCAAATTGCCATGGAAAACATACATTCTGAAATGTATAGTCTCCTTATTGACACTTACATTAAAGACCCCAAAGAAAGGTGGGTATTCAAATGGTATGCCAGGATGTTTTGGATTCCCTTAATAACTTCAAGTATTTTCAAAGGGATAAAAATGTTTCTAGAATGACTAAGCAGATGGTCATAAACTTCTAGCACCCATGGTCATGTTTGCTCTGAATAAGGGGCCTAAATTCACTTAATTAGAGTTAGAAGTATACTATGTAAAAATCTAATGTTTTCTTTTGAAAAACATCTTTAGAGGTTGAGTGAAAAAGTAACATTGAGGTTTGGCAAATTTATTATACTTATAGAGTAGGGTTGGGACAGGGTGATAAGGAAGGATAAAGATGTAACTTACCTCTTAGGAAGTTTGTAATATAGTACAGAAAATTAAGATCTAAACATATGATATGGACAGCTTTGAGCCATAAGATTAATTTAGGCACAGGGAGGATAGTTGAGCTGAAATTAGTTTGTATTAGGGGATCCTAGAAAAATAAAGGTAGCTTGAGGTCCATTTATGTTTTGGAGATTGGAGAGAAGAGGACGTCAGCAATGGGTTGTTTGAAGAAACTTTTTGGGAGTAAAGAGATTTGGACATGTTTATAGATAGAAATAGGAAAGATAACAACAGGGCCATGATTGGGTAAGTTACCCAAAGGGGTAAGTATGGTCAGGGAGGTCTGGTGGTGAATCCTCAAAAGCAAGAGAGAGGCGGGCTGAGGTTTTGAGTGGAAGTGGACATTGAGATGCAAGGAGAATGAAGCTGGCTTGGTGCTGATGACTGGCCTCAGATCACAAGGTCATCTGGGAAGGAGGGGCAGGGATGTCATTGCACTCCCAAGTGGACCCCAGAATAAATGGGAGACAGAGAGTGGTGGTAAGGATACCTTCTTGGTTTAATTATATAGTTGGCAATTGGCCCAGCTAATGTACCCAGTGTAGTCTTTGATAGGACTGTCCATTTAGTGGGATAGTAGTCAGCATAGCAGTTAAGATTTTATGGTTCTTTAAATTTAAAGAAGGTAGGGCCTGTGAACTATGATCTTGATTTGAAATGATGAAGCCCATAAGTTCTGGAGAGCCAGGTCTAGTGGTGAATGCCTGGAATTCCAGCTATGCAGAAGGCTGAAGCCGGTGGATTGAAAGTTCTAGGCCATCCTGGGCATCTTCAGTAAAATCTGTGAAAGGACTGGGAGTAGAACTCAGATTGCTCACCACGTGAGGGCCTGGGTTCAATCCCCAGCACTGTAAAAATAGATAATCCTGGTATAATGGACTGAGTTTTAGTGTAAGTAGATGTTGGAGCTCAACATGAACTAAAGAATACCTAAATTTGTGTGTAACATAAGTCAAATGAATGTTGAGTTTTTTTAAAATCTGGAGGGAAAAGCTGACCAGTAAAAAGGAAAAATAAATTTTTTTTGAGTCCTTCCTTTGGGGGAGAGAATTGGTAAACCCTTACATTTGACCTTTAACCTAGTGCTCTTGTTTAGAAGTTTGGGGTCAGTTCTTCACCATCATTGCTCATGATATATTGCTATACCTACAGGGAATTTCTCTTCAATGCCATTGAAACAATGCCTTGTGTGAAGAAGAAAGCCGATTGGGCCTTGCGTTGGATTGGGGACAAAGAGGCTACCTATGGTAAGGAAGCCCTTGGTCCTAGTTAAACCTGGGCTTCTTTTTTACTGGGCTGTTGGCCTCCTGTGAATACCAACAGTGGCTCACAAAGAACATTTTGATATTAACTCTTCAACAGGAGAACGTGTTGTAGCCTTTGCTGCTGTGGAGGGAATCTTCTTTTCTGGTTCTTTTGCTTCAATATTCTGGCTCAAGAAACGAGGACTGATGCCTGGCCTCACATTTTCCAATGAACTTATTAGCAGAGATGAGGTGAGTCTAAATCAAACTGGCTAAAGTGGCACCCCAAATAGCTGCAACTCTTAGGCCCACCCTTGTGTTCACTGAAGGTCAGGTCCCAGGTTATCAAATGGCATCACCTCCACATTTAAGAGTTCAGCTGCATACATACTCAGAAAAGAGTGAAGTGCTTTGTGTATCAATATTCTACTCATCTTCAGTATAATACAT